GGAAAGGTATTCCCATTTGAATGCAGAGTTCCAAAGAATAACAAGGAGAGATAAGAAAGCCTTCCTCAGTGACCAGTGTAAAGAAATAGAGGAAAACAACAGAATGGGAATCACTAGAGATCTCTTCAAGAAAATTAGAGATACCAAGGGAACATTTCATGCAAAGATGGGCACAATAAAGGACAGAAATGGTATGGACCTAACAGAAACAGAAGATATTAAGAAGAGGGGGCAAGAATACACAGAAGAACTGTACAAAAAAGATCTTCACGACCCAGATAATCACAGTGGTGTGATCACTCCCACTCACCTAGAGCCAGACATCCTGGAATGTGAAGTCAAGTGGGCCTTACAAAGCATCACTACAAACAAAGCTAGTGGAAGTGAGGGAATTCCAGTTGAGCTATTTCACATCTTGAAAGATGATGCTGTGAAAGTGCTGCACTCAATGTGTCAGCAAATTTGGAAAACTCAGCAGTGGCCACAGGACTGGAAAAGGTCAATTTTCATCCCAATCCCAAAGAAAGGCAATGCCAAAGAATGCTAAAACTACCACACAATTGCACTCATCTCACACACTAGTAAAGTAATGCTCAAAATTCTCCAAGCCAGGCTTCAACAATATGTGAACCGTGAAATTCCAGAAGCTCAAGCTGGTTTTAGAAAAGGGAGAGGAACCAGAGATCAAATTGCCAATATCTGATGGATCATCAAAAAAGCAAGAGTTCCAGAAAAACATCTATTTCTGCTTTACTGACTATGCCAAAGCCTTTGATTGTGTGGATCACAACAAACTGTGGAAAATTCTTTAAGAGATGGGAATACCAGACCACCTGACCTGCCTCTTGAGAAATCTGTATGCAGATCAAGAAGCAATAGTTAGAACTGGACATGGAACAATAGACTGGTTCCAAATAGGAAAAGGAGTACTTCAAGGCTGTATATTGTTACCGTGCTTATTTAACTTATATGCAGAGTACGTCATGAGAAACGGTGGACTGGATGAAGCACAAGCTGGAATCAAAATTGCCAGGAGAAATATCAATAACCCCAGATATGCAGATGACACCACCTTATGGCAGAAAGTGAAGAAGAACTAAAGAGCCTCTTGATGAAAGTGAAAGAGGAGAGTGAAAAAGTTGGCTTAAAGCTCAACATTCATAAAACTAAGATCATGGCATCCAGTCCCATCACTTCTTGGCAAATAGATGGGGAAACAGTGGCAGACTTTATTTGGGGGGGCTCCAAAGTCACTGCAGATGGTGACTGCAGCCGAAATTAAAAGACGCTTACTCCTTGGAAGAAAAGTTGTGACCAACCTAGACAGCATATTAAAAAGCAGAGACATTACTTTGCCAACAAATATCCATCTAGTCAAGGCTATGGTTTTTCCAGCAGTCATGTATTGATGTGAGAGTTGGGCTATACAGAAAGCTGAGCACTGAAGTATTGATGCTTTTGAACTGTGGTGTTGGAGAAGACTTTTGTGAGTCCCCTGGACTGCAAGAAGATCCAACGAGTTCATCCTAAAGGAAATCAGTCCTGAGTGTTCATTGGAAGGACTGATGTTGAAGCTGAAACTCCAATACTTTGGCCACCAGGTTCGAAGAGCTGACTCACTGGAAAAGACCCTGATGCTGGGAAAGATTGAAGGTGGAGGAGAAGAGGATGATAGACGATGAGAGGGTTGGATGGCATAACCGACTCAGTGGAGTTGAGTTTGAGTAAACTCCGGGAGTTGGTGATGGACAGCGAGGCCTGGCGTGCTGCAGTCCATGGAGTCTCAAAGAGTCAGACACGACTGAGCGACTGAACTGAACTGAATGGAGAATTCCATTAGTGGTAGCCTATAATACAACCCAATTTGGACACGCTCTGCCTAGAAATAACATCAGGTTCCATAGGTTAAGGGTTTGTTACTGAACCAAACTTCAGTCCACTCACCTGTGGAAAGTAAACCAGTCTACTGATACTGGGCTATGCTGAAAGAAAGTACAGTGGTTTTTGTAGCTTCCAAACAAGGAGTGCAGACAACTGATGCTCAGAAAACCTGAAGTCCCTCATGGCTCTCAGGGAACCTTTTTAAAGGGCAGAGTGATGGAAGGGAATCAGAAGTTGTATGATCACCTCATGCACAGTTCTGACTGGTTAATGGTGAATAATAGGGTGGTGTCACCGGTGTTAGCATCATAAGTCCTCAGACTCCAGCCAGTCTGGGGGCTCATTGTCATTATCTAGTTAGCTTCTTCAGTCTGGTGAGGGTTTTAGTATCTGTAAGACAGCTGGGGAATGCGCATCAGACACTATCTACGTCCTTCAGGGAACAGCTCAACATTCCGTGACCACTTTGTGGCTGATTCACAGTTTGATTCATTACCAGTTTTCCTGGCCCACATCTTTGTGGTTTTTGTTACTTCGTGTTCACATCAATTCAATCAATTCTTGAGCTCATCTTTTGTGACTCAGGGGAGGCCTTGGAGAATTAAACTTTTCTACAAAAAAAAAAAAAAAGAGGCAGGCAGAAGCCATGGGATGGGAGGTTGAGTCCGGGGAAGGCACCATAGGGTCCTTCTTGGTTACAGGTTCAGTCCCACAAGACCGCCCCCACCCCACACCACCACCTCAGATGCCAGTCACAAGTGCAGGCTGCCACTTGGCCTTTTGACCTACCAGCTACATATCAGAGGTTCCAATGAACACTTCCTCAGGCTTTGGCCACCTGATGCAAAGAGTCAATTCATCAGGAAAGACCTTGATGCTGGAAAAACTTGAGGGCAGGAGGAAAGGGGGTTGACAGAGGATGAGATGGTTAGACGGCATCACTGACTCAATGGACATGAGTTTGGGCAAACTCCAGAAAATACTGAGCACTAGAGTGCTCTAGTCCATGGGGTCACACAGGCTCGGATATGACTTAACGACTGAACAACAAAAGTGATTTCAGAAATTGAAGACAAGGGATCAAATAGTATAGCAAAAGTTGTTTGCATTATTCTAATAGCTCAGGAAATTCCGAAGATTTTGAGAGCTGTGAGCCAGGAATTGTGGACAAAGACCGAATATATGTGAAATAGATATATCTCACATATATTTGGTCATCTGAATGATACAGTTGAATCACAATATTGAAGGCAATTAAATATTTTGGAAATGTATAATGTTGGCAGTTGCAAAACACAGTTTTTATTTAATGTTACTGAACTGACAGTTAAAACAGTAAGTTTTGGATTACATAACCACAATATACAATTTAGGTTGAATCGACTTAAAAAAATGCAGAACATGAGAGTTGCAAGTTAAGTTTTATTTGGTGCAAAAATGAGGAATGCAGCCCAGGAGATAGCACCTCAGATAGCTCTGAGAAACTGTTCCAAAGAGTCAGGGGGAGAAGGTATGCATGTGATTTTGGTGAAGGAGAAATACATGCAATCAAGCACGTATTTTCCCAGAAGGTTTCTGCTAGTCTGGTGAAACTTTCTGCTCATTGGATTTGTCAATCCAACGAGTCAGTCCAAAATCCTGGATTGATATCAAGGAACAGTTGTCGCCAGGAAGGATTTTAGTGTTTTTCTAGATATAAGGAGATACAAGAATCAGGCTCATAAAATTGACTCCTGAAAATATCTAACTGTTAGAGTAAACACACTGACTGAAACCACCCACCCTGATCAGGCACCACAGTAACCATTTGCATGAGTTATTTTACAACAGGAGGTCTTGGCGAGGAATACAGAACTAGTAAGCCACCACCAACCAGAAGAGTTTGGCAAAGGTCAAAAGGAGATGCCATGTGTCCTACCACCTCCCAGAATCCTTCTCACTGACATCCTTCTTGGCCGCATAAGGTGTGAGCCACCAGGATGGACCCTGAATCAGAGTGATTGGCTAGAAACAACCCAGAAACTCACCCCATCACCATAAAACCCAGGACTGCAAGCCACATGGCAGAGCAGTACTCTCAGGTTCCCTTACCCTCCTGCTCTCTGCCTGGGTGCCCCTTCCCAATAAAGACTCCTTTGTCAGCACATGTGTTTCCTCAGAGAATTCATTTCTGAGTGTTAGGCAAGAGTCCACTTTAAAGCCCTGGAAGGGTTCCCCCTTCGTGCAACCTAACTATTTGAAGACCTGTCCTGCCAGTTTTTCCCAGAGCACAGAAGTGCATCATTTTTGCTCTCCACCCTGAACTTCTTTCAGGAGCTGCTGAAGACCAGCAGTTGCAGCAACACATGATTTAACCATTGTAAAGGAAGACAGCAAGTGCCCATGGCAAGTGCTAATTTGTAGTTGACAGTTGTTTTACCACGATAAAAAAAAAATCAAAATAAAAGAAAAAAGGATATAGATAGTAAGAAATGGACTATTTCCTGCCATATCAATAAACAAGAATGTCACAGTCATCAGTGATTCCAGTCCTCCAGGGCAACCATGAAAGAGAAGAATACCTGAGATCCAATAGCTATCATGCTGCCTCCACTCACTTCGAGGAACCAAGGATATAAAAAAATGCAGGATGCTGGCCCCAGGTAGCTGAGATGCATATGAACGGAATGATTTCTGTAAGCCTAGACTCTTGCATATTCCATACATTAAAAAGTGCTAAATTCTTTAACTTGAGATATTTCTTTAATTAACAGTAATCTTTTGATGTTCGAAATACCTGCCCCTTGATGTAAACTTCTGTATAGCCCAATTCCTCCCCAGCACCTCCTCAGAATAACTCTCTCGGGGTTACTTGACATGCTGTCTCCCAGGTCTGAAGTCCTAAAAATTTCTGCCAAATAAAACATAACTCTCAACTTTTAGGTTGTAACTATTTTTTAAGTTGACAGTAGTGAAGATTCCAATTCACATCACACATGATTTTTGCACTTAGCTCAGAAAAAAAGTAAACAAATTCACAAAATAACATTGGGACTTTTAGTGTGGGGGAAGAAGGTCCTGCCACGCCTCTGAGAGGAAACAGGCAGTGTCGATAAGAAGCACTTTCAGTTTATGAGAGGATGGCAAGAACGCTGGCAGGCTTGAAGTCTCCAACACCATCCTCCACTGCTAAGAGCATGATACGGCTGATCCAGTCTCTCACGCTTGTCTCCTTCCTTGGCCCAGGTAAATGCTAGAGTATACCCGTGTAGTCATGTTTGACTCCTGGTTTTGTGCAGCTTGCTCGATCTAAATCACCTACATGTAGGTGTCTGTCTGTATCTCTACTAAAGGATCTGGTGGGGCTCACAGAGATGCCTGATAAACTGCCATTGCTTCTCAACTTAAAAGCTTACAGCCTGAGATCATTTAGAGTTAACAGCTTCAACTGTGTCTGCATTTAAATGAATTATATGCTGGGGTATGGGAAACGAAGTTTTCTAAGACACGACTGGGGTTTATAAGCAGCATGTTGTGGTGTAAAGAGAGCTAAGGTTAAGAAAAGAAGCCTTCTCACCAGAGTAGCTACTATCTTACTGTGTGGTCACAAGTAGACGACATGTTCCTTCTTAGCCTCATTGAAAATATTGAAAATCTATGGTTCTGCTTAGCTGAAATTTCTGAACCCAACTAAAACACTCGAAACAGTGTTCTCAGTTTTTGCATACTTGGAAAAAACTACTCTCCAGCTTTCCTTTCCTTCGATGCAAATCAGGGACTAGCTAGTCCAGCAATACCTAATCTGCCAGACAGGAATTCTCAGATCCTACATGCCTCTCATCCCTGCTGTCCATTATGTGGAAAACTTGAAGGTTCATGTCAGGTTTTGGGAAAACGCAAGTGGTCCGCTGGGGCCAAAGTGCAGGAAGGGGCAGGAGACAAGACAAGAAAGCTATCCCAGAACTAGCCCAGGGTAGCAGGTAAAAACAGTAATATTCATTGTGGGCACGTACCATTCCAGGCACTGGGTCAGATGCTATACTTACATCATAGAGGTAAGGTTTTTGACAGTTCTAGGAGCCTGTGCTATTATCCCCGTTTGAAATAACTTGCACAGACTTCATTAGCCAGCAGGTGGCAAGCTCTTGTGATAGTTTTGAGGAACAGTGATGGCTCATCAAAATGGCAGCAGCACAAGAGAGAGGACAGAAGCAAGAATCGCCACAAATGTAGAATTAGCTAATCACCTGGCAATGGGAGTGGGGGGGGGAGGGAATTCACTGTCATCCAATAAGCAATCATTGAGCACCTACTGGATGCCCGGCACTGTTCTAGGTTCTGAGTGCACACCATGAATGAAGCAGAAAAACATTTCTGCCCTCACGGAGTTAACATTTTAGCAGAGGAAACAAGCTATAAACAAAGTAAATAGGTGAAACAAAATAAGTAAGTATATTGGATAGTGATAAATGACAAGGAGGAAATAAATCAAGGAGAGATTAAATATTGGGAGCAGTGACATTTCAGACAGAACAGCCAAAAAGTTTACAAAGTCGGGAGGGGGGAGGAGGGAGCTGCCATGATGAGAAGATGATTTCAACTTTGGACCTACTAATTTTAAGATGTTAGTGTGATATTCGTTAGAAGATTTCCTGAAAGTAGCTGGAAATTTAGGACTAGAGGTAGAGCTGAGGCTGGAGGCTTCAAACTCACAGCATAGAAATAATAAAGCTAAGGAGAAAATTGTAAGGAGGACAGAAACTTGGGGAATACGTACAAGAGCAGAAAGAGAAAAAAATTATACATTCAAGAGCTACTCCCTGGCCCAGGAGCCATGGAGGCAAAGACAAGAGATCCCTGTCTTTGCCTCCTTGCAAAATTGAACTCATCTCTAGAATTCAATATTCTGAATGTCCTCAGGTTAAAATTCCCATTTTTCTCCCCATTCCCATTAATATTTCTGATAAGGGCCCTGTGAAATATACACTATTCCTATCCCCCACTTTAAGGAAGAGGAATGAGGCATACAACACTTGAGTAACTTGCTTAATGTCACACTGTTGTGGGGGAAGTGAGGGTGATGTATAGGAAATGAAATATACTTGAATGTGTTTGCAGGTGTTCTGAGGTCCAGGAAGAAAGCAGTAATTTGTGGGGTTATAATTTAGGGAGACTGGCTCCAGAGTCTATTCATAACCATTTTACTATGCTGCATAGCTTACAAACAGCTATATATTCACATAAATGTATTTGTAATTATAAACTGTGATACTATGAAGATAATAAGCAGAGTACTGATGCTGAAAACTCGGCCTCTGTGCATTGGTGTCGAATCAAATCTCAGAGACAGAGTTTTGGGTGAAGTAGAAAAGAATAGTTTTATTGGTTTGCCAGGAAAAGGGAGACACAGCAGGCTTCTGCTCTCAAAAACCATGTGTTCCAACCTGGGAGGATTTGGCGAGGAGTTTTATAGCAACCATTCAAGGGAAGGGTTGCTAATAAGATTAGGGTGTGTGCAGGGCCTGTACTATTTTAATCTCGTCTCAAATAATTTGATGAGTTTCTGTGGTTCCTTTAATCTGGCCTGAGGTGGTCTTCTAGAAGAGCTTCTCTAGTTCCTTTAATCTGGAATGAAGAGTACTGGCATCTTCCATTTGTTGGGAGTGTTAGTTCTATTAGTATAAAGAGCTCAAAGATATTGTTGTGCATGCTTAAGGCAGAACCAGGACCCTTCCCCAAGGCTGCACCATTGTTTTTACTGCTCCTCCCTTGTCTGCATCCCCTCCCTTTCCAGATTAGCAATTGTTATAATCTGCCCTTAGGAACTCAGGGAAGGTCATTAAAGTGAAAGTGAAGTTGCTCAGTCTGTCCGACTCTTTGCGACCCCATGGACTGTAACCTAACCAGGTTCCTCCATCCATGGGATTTTCCAGGCAAGAATACTGGAGTGGGTTGCCATTTCCTTCTCCAGGAGATCTTCCCGACCCAGGGATTGAACCCAGGTCTCCTGCATTGTAGGCAGACGCTTTACCCTCTGAGCCACCAGGGAAGATTCGAAGGTCATGAATGCTTGAGTCTATTCCCTACAAGCAAGATATGCAGGACAGAAAGGCTTCGGTGTCCATGAGCCCCACAGGGTCCTGCTTGTTTTCAGGACCATGGGATAGAAAAACAAGAGGACCTGCTTTAGATGGAGGTGGTGTGGAAAGGATTTTCTGGAAAGCATCTGAACTGATATCTAAAGAGAAGTCAAACAAGGGAGGAGTCTAATGAAGAAGCTTTCAAAGCAGTGGACATTACATGTGCAAAGGCCCTGGTGCAGGGAAGAGTTTAGAATGATTAAGGAAGGGAAAGAAAACTACTGTGAGAAGAGTATGGTGCAAATAAAATCAATCTTGAAGCAAGCATGAAGGAAGATGACTCATGCTAGCCTACATTCTTTCAAGGGGCCAGACACCATAACTTGCTCCTTTTAGGAAATTTAGCTGTAAAGATAAACTGTGTTAAGAAATAATTCCAATAGATATAATTGAGATCAAATGTCATCATGCCCTGGAGAAAACGAATCTCACTTGCTTCTACATTTAATTATTTCTAGGTGGGAACTTATCAAATGTTAATATGCATACAAAGTATTAGGGGATCTTATTATAATGCTGATTCTGGAAAGGAGACTAAGTCACTGCATTTATGACAAGTTCCCAAGCAACACCAGTGCTGTTCCATGGACCACACATGAGACTTTAGTCACAATGAGGATGGAAGGATGGAGAAATAAGAACTAGTTCTTTGAGTGTGTTTGCAAGAAGCAGATATAGGAATTCTGATGTTCAAGAGAGAACAGTAGTAGGAAATATATGCTACAACCAATACACATGGGCCAACCATTGATTCTGAGGTTTTGAGCCAAAAACTTTGCAGGTTTTTCTGCTCAGAGACTATAATTCAATGACTTCCCTTCCCCTGAGCAGCATTATCTACTTCTTGCCAACCATCCGCACCTATCAGTGTTTATTGTTGCTCAGAACAGGCAGAGAGTTGTTTTACATTTTGTGATTATCATCAAGAACAGCTGGGTCTTTCCACCTCTCAGAGTCTGCAGCCAGTGCCCACTGGACTGCCAGCCTTTCATGCCTCCCAGTGTTCAGCCTCACTCCAGATCTAGCCTCAGTTGGGTCTCCATGCACAGACTATTGTCTTTCTCCCTTTTTCTTTTTTTTCTCATTAAGGTGCAATTCACAAAATATAAAATAATAATATTAAAGTGTACAAATTCAGTGACATTTAGTGAATTCACAGCATTGGGCAATTACCACTTCTATTGCACCAGGACATTTCGTCACCCCAAAAGAAAACCTTGTACTCATTAGGCAATCCCTTCTCATTTCTATCCCCAACTATCCCCCTTCAAACATTTATCTGCTTTCTGTCTCAATGAGTCCACCTATTCTGGATCTTTCATATAAATGAAATCATGTAATCTGTGAATTTTTATGTCTAACTTCTTTCTCTTGGTAAAATGTATTCAAGGTTTATGCCTATTGTATCATGTAGCGATACTTCATTCCTTTTTATTGCTGAATGATATTCTATTGTATGTGTGTGCCATAACTTATTTATCCACACACCTACTGATGGACATCTGTGCTGTTTCCAGCTTTTGGCTTTTTCAAATAGTGCTATTATGAAGACTTTTGTACAAGTTTTTGTTTTCAGTTCTTCTGGGGATGAAACTGCTGGATCATATGATAATGCTGTACTTAATTTTTTGAGGGATCACTAAATAGTTTTCCACAGTGGCTATACCAGTTTGCATTCCCACCAGCAATGTGTTCTAATTTCTCCACGTCCTTCCCAACACTTATTTTCCAATTATTTTCATTGTTATTATTATTAGTCACCATCTTAGTGGATGTAAAGACATTTCATAGAGATTTTGATTTGCATTTCCCTCACAATTAATGATATTGAGCATCTTTTTGTGTGCTTATTGGCTATTCATATATTTTCTACCCTCCTTCTGAATGTGTTTCATGCTGAGCTGAAACAGCCCACTATATCTCTCTTTCCTTTAGATAGGCCTGAGCCAGTCCCCTAGCTTAGATAACCCAAAGTTTCTCTGACATTTGTTCAGAATCAGCTCAGCCTTACCTGCTTTCTCTATTCCTTCTCATTTCTCATAAATACTCCATTTTTCTTCCTACATTCAAAAAAAAAATCATTCAGATAATCGTTTAAGACACTTC